GCCCAGAATATTTAGCGACTGATGTCAGGCCTACGTGTTGATAGTGGGTAGTAGTGGGCAGATGCCTGGCCCTCTCTCTTTCTTCTCATGAGCAAGTCAGTATCACAGAGGTTAAACATATCTTTAAGTAGCATTTAACTTAAATTTTTTTAAATAAAAAAAAGAGAAGTAATTTGTAAAAATATTGCATCCCCTATTTCTCTGCTGGAAGCTATTTGTTCTTAGCATAAATTAGAAGAAAAGGTGTTTTGCTTAAAAAATAAGTGAGTTGCTCACCATATTTCTGAATCTGATCTAGAATTGGCCTCACAGTTTGTGAACAGCCCAGGAATAGCCAATGTCTTAGCTTTGGAACGTTTGCCACTTTCCAGCTACAGCTGAATCTTATAGCCTCGTTTGGTTCCTGATGACTTTCAAATTCTCCTGATCCAAATGCAAGCGCAGAAGCACGAGCACATTGTTGGTGGCAGTATTATAGACTGAAACACCCTCTTTGGATGGCAGTTCCTCTCCCAGGACTTTATTCTCCAGGTGTGCACAGGTACACACAAGTGCCCAAAGGATAAACACACAGATCTATTGTAGCATATTTGTATTACTGAGAGATTAGAAACATCCTAAAATGTTAGCCAAATCACTTGGATGAAAAGTTTGGCTCTGCTTATTAGGTTTGGTGTGCAATGTGGAGGTGACATCTGTTACTTCCAGTGTATTCTAAATACTTTAGCTCAAAAAATGAGACCTGTACCTAGATGGACACCAAAAGGGACTGGTTAACAAATATTGCATATACAGGGGTGTGGGGTGGCTCCGGGGCGGGGGATGGCGGCAGCCTTTGTTGCCGCGGCTCCAGGACAAGCGGATGGATCCCGGGAAGTGCTGCAAAATGGCTGGCTCCCCAGCCAGCCGGTGTCATGTGCCTCCATGTGAAGAGACCACCAAACAGGCTTTGTGTGAGCAATAAAGCTTTTTAATCACCTGGGTGCAGGCGGGCTGAGGATTTGGGTAGGTAAAGGAAAATTACAGTCAAAGGGGGGTTGTTCTCTGGCAGGCAGGAATGGGGGTTACAAGGTGCTCAGTGGGGGAGATTTTTGAGCCAGGATGAGCCAGGAAAAGGAATTTCACAAAATAATGTCATCGCTTAAGGCAAGGACCGGCCATTTTCACTTCTTTTGTGGTGGAATGTCATCGGTTAAGGCGGGGCAGGGCCTTTTCACTTTTTTGTGATTCTTCAGTTACTTCAGGCCATCTGGGCGTATCTGTGCAAGTCACAGGGGATGCAATGGCTTGGCTTGGGCTCAGAGGCCTGACAGCCGGGAGGATGGGAGGATACTTACTACAGCTGCTCAGAAGCACCACTGGAAGCTCAGATGTGGGCGCCCCAGCCAGAAGAAAAGAAGGGTACAGAGAAGCTACAGAGAAGCCTCTCCTGATGCCCCAGGGAGCAAGCCGACTCCTTCCAGGATCCAGGAACGCCACAAAGCAATATGAAACCCGTTCATGAGAGGAGTCAGGAATGGCTTCCACCAAAGAAACGAGACCTCCCTGTGACCAGAGGGGATATGCAGAGAACTACCAGCTGCTCCACTAACCACACACCCTCCAGTGATGCCTCTGAATGGTCCCAAGGGGTTGTGGTGGCGGGGCAGAGTCAGGCAGGAGCGGGAGTCAGCCGGCGGGTGGTGGACTGAGGCCATCACCTGTCTGACAGTAGACCAGTATGGCATGCTGTATAAGGTGGCTGTGCCGCCTGCCACCTTCTCACTAACTGGCCTCCCAACTGTGGTGAATATGAGCCCCTTGCCCCCGGGGGAAAAAAAAATATTGCATATACAGTTGATTAAATGGAATGCTCCAGGGTTATTAGGAATGATGAAAATGGGCTGGGCGGAAAATGGGCTGGGCGTGGTGGCTCACGCCTGTAATCCCAGCACTTTGGTAGGCCGAGGAGGGCAGATCACCTGAGGTCGGGAGTGTGAGACCAGCCTGATCAACATGGAGCTGTGTTTACTGAGTGGGGATTTCGCAGGCTGGAGCTAAGAATTTCCAGTATGCATAACAGCCACAGCCCAAATATCTGACAGTGAGTTGCATAATTCCCGAGAGCAGGCCTGGACAGTGTCTGGGTGGGGCCTGGGAGCCACAGGAGATGCCCAAAGCCAGGCAGAGCCCGGGGGCGAGGGGGTGACAGGCAGGTGTGGCGCTGGGTGCGGCCCAGGGCGGGCTTGCACCCCCACACCCAAGGCAACGGCCTGCTCATTCCTCAGCTGCAGGAGCCAGACGTGTGGAGTCCCAGCGGAGGCCGACCTGTGTCTCTTCATCTCCCTGGGAAAGCTGCTCCCGAGGTGAACGAGATGGCCTGGTGGAAAGCCTGGGTAAGTGGGAGCTGGCAAGAGAGTTGGGCTCCTGCATTGTGTTGGGTGCTGGTCACCAGGGAGGCCTGAGAAATGTAAAGTCGCCCTTGGCTGGGAGTGGCTCATTCTACATTTGGCTGCCTCCTGGGCCAAGCATGGAGGGTGGGGAGGGGCCGAGATGAAACAGTCCCAGGCCTAGAGTGCCCATGGCAGGGATGGGACCTGAGCCGGGAGACAGGCCGATGAAGAAATCTAGAAATGCAAGGGGGAAGCTGAGGTTTGAGAGGAGTTCAGGGGAGACCCTTGCAGGGGTGAGGCCACTCAAAGGAGGGGGTGTCATGGTTGAGTCTTGTGTGTAAATGTGTATGGGGTGCACACACGTGTGCATTTGGGGAGAATCAGGCATACTGCTCCCGGCAGAGGGAACGGTGTCAGAGAGTCAGAGGGCGGGGAGCTTGGCTTTGAGGGAAGCTGCTCAGCACAGCTCGAGGGTCCTGGTTCCGGAGGAGATGGACCTGGGGAAGCAGGCAGGACCAGGTCCTGAAAGGCCTTGCCTGGCAGGCTGAGGAGTTCAGGCTTTACCTTAAGAGCAGTGGGACAGCATTGAAGGGCTTTGAGCGGGAGAGTAACCTGAACATGCTGTTGGGGACCCATCAGTGCCTTCACCTCCGGGATCAAGGATGTTCATTTGTCAAGACTGGAGAGGGAAGAGGGGAAGCAGGAGGACCTGGCCTACTAGAGCCCTGAGGAACCCGGCGCTCAGGGCAGCCCATCCCCAGCAGAACTGATGGGTTCTCAGGAGCTTTCCATCTATGCTTGAGCCTGAGGCCATCGCAGTGCTAAGGAGTTGAATATCCAGGAGGGAACAGAGGTGACATCTCCTGGCTGCCGGCTCTACACGCCCTTTTCCTTTCCTCCCAGGCAGCCTCAGGATGTCAGGGTGTCAGGGCTGCACTTTCTGTTTTGCAGATGAGGAAATGGAAGCTCAGAGACACTGAGTGACTTGCTAGGGTCCAATGGCCAGCAGGCTCCAATCAGAGAGCACTTGGGTCTC